GGCGATATCAAAGAAATGTCAGACAGTTTAATTATTTTCTTTTCAGCCGTAAATATTTCAAAGAACACAAAGGAGTCCAGATTTGTCATTGGGAAACTGCTCGTTTAATGTAATTTGTAAAGCTGCAAGCCCCCTGTTGGTACTTGCAAATATGCAAAATGTTTTTCTGTACTGGTAGATATTTATTGATTACACTGGTTTACAGCCAAAATGTTCAATGGATGCCCTTATTCAACTCCTGTGCAGAGTTTATAAAAGCGTGGTATATTAAATTTTTATTTTTTATATTATTTATTTGTTGTTTTTTATGAAAAGGTTAAAAAACTCAACCTTAACAGGGGCGAAATAAAAAGAAACTAACAGGCCTATCGAAAAGTGATGTATACGCGGCTTTTGGATAACTTTATTGGCTTTCGTTTGGCGTATTTCGTATTACGATTCACTAATTGGTTCATTAGATATACGTGATTAAGTGGAACTACTCTTTTTTTAAGCTGAATAACGGTAACGGAATTGGATAATGGCGTCTGGAGAACAAAAACAAAACTAAAATTTGTAAACCAATACCCATTTATTTTAGCCGCCACTGTTGACGTGCTAATCAAATATCTATATAAATCTTAAAATACAAGTCTGAGGTGAGATTGTGAAAATCTAATTTTGATGGCCAAAAATATCAAAGAGAATAGCAGGGACGCCGATCAACATGCATCATCTAATAACATGTCCCTCCTACTACCAGATTTGGCTGATTACGCTTTGCCGCTGCTGGTTTTTCATGTTATGTACTTTTAGGCCGCACTACTAATAAAATTTGAAAATTGGACCGTATGAATAAAAACTAAGGTGTTAATGTTTGTAGTCAGATATTTCTACTGAGACAGAAACATATATCGACTGAGATATATAGCCGTTAAATTTAATGGAGAGAATAATTCTGTGGATGAATCCCTTCCTTTGGTTTCTTACTTGGGTCAAAAAGATATAAATATGTCGGCGCTTAACGCATTAGAAAATAGTAAAGTTGCAAAGGGAACAATTCGCCAGTAAACTTATGACTTTCTTCGACATGTATTGGAGCCTCATAGAACCTGTTCTGACTTTAAAAATAAAATTTATAAGAGACACTAACTCTGAACGTTAGTTAAAAAATTAAGATAAAAATAAAAATACGTAAATAATATTCATAATAAAATTAGGCTTTTCAATTCGGAGTGGCATATTTTTAAGGTAGTTTCAAAATCAATATTATTTTTTAACCGGTTTTTTTTTTACCACGGATTCGGAATAATTTGAAAATTTACATTCAGATAAGATGTCATATAAATGTGGGGTCTGCTGGAAGGTTAAACTGATCGTATTGTTAGTTTTTCTTATTGGCCGAATTCAAAGGGAGGTCATCAATTAATCGGAATAATTTTTTTATGTAGGTTTTGGGAAATCGCGATTGAAGTTTGGTTTTTAATTTCTAAAAATCGCGAAGATAGACTTTCTCCAAAGTCTCGGAGAATGCTACTAGTACACAAAATTCTTAAATTATTTCATCTTCATTGCTTATTGTTAATTAGTTTTGAGTATATGAAGGATTTTCTTTAGTAAAATTTTGTCGTATGCGAGATTTGTCAACAATATGGCAGCCATTTTGTATGAATTACGCCCGCTTACTTAACCGAACGAAACTTACTACTCAATATCTCGAAAACTAAAAGAGATATCTATAAGGTGCTGTAACTAAAAATTGTCAATATGTCGCTTGCGACAATCTTTTATCCAAGCGACGGTATGTTGCGGGATACCTTTTTACCGCAGGAACCATTTTCCATTATCCTGTTTATCGGAAAGGTGGTACCTCAAGGGTATCATATTAATTTTGTTTAGTTCTGATCATTGTGTCAAGAAGTTTAGTTTCTTCATATATATCTATGACAAGATGAAACATGTACATTTTACTAGATGTAAATAATTAATACGGAATGATTACTTATTCATTTATATGTAGTATCTATATTAGATATACATTCGAATAAACTTTTTTTCACCTTTTTATACGCAATTGAAATACTCGTATAATGCGAAAATGGAAATTCTGTAAAGTATTTACAACAGAAAAACCTTACACTCACTCAATTATGTACTTTCATTAATCCAACTAACAGCGATTTACCCGTCGCTTACCTCATTAACTAATGACGAACTTCGATTATATGTATACAAGTATATACCACTTCTGTGCAGTGTTGCCAGAACTTTTTGGGCCGACCGGCTAGATTGGCAAAAAAAAGCGGCTAAAAACGGCTAAAATGTTTTAGTGAAATTTCACATAGACTCTGTGAAAATCCACATGCTCTATTTAAATAAATCGCAAGAAACGAAAGACTAGTTAACACCATTAATTTATATCGAGTGTATATTCCTCATCATCAAATGAATCACTATTGTATATATCACCTGAATTCATTAATTTTAAGAGATCGTCATCTACAGTAAAATTATGGCAGCATTTTTCTTGACGTTTTAAACCGTATCTTATATATAAAATAGCGTTTAACGTTTTAACGCACATTGGATTTCTTTGCTTAGTTTTTATTATATTCATTGAACTAAATATTCGATCTACTTCTGCATTACTTATAGGCAAAGGTCAGCAAAAGGGGTTTCTCCTAGGGCATTTCGAAATTGATAAACTTCGGCCCAAAATTTTACAGTTGAGTATAAATTACTCCAGGTATGTAACGTTAACCGTTGCCATTGCATCTCTATGGATGTTATTTCGTCGGCGTTATATTTGTGTTTTTGTTGCTGTAGTTGAACAAATACTTTTGGTTTAATTACTCTTAATGCATTTCCAACCGAAAAAAGTCAATTTTTTTTAGTGTGGCGATATTTGTAGGGAGGCGTTGGCGTAATTCCTTTATTAAAGTGATAATAAAATAGCGACCATTTTCTCGGCTTCGTGGTCAAAAGCGTTTGTGCTTACTTTTGTTTTTAAATACTCTTCAAAACTGTGATAAAACTGAGGAAATGGAGCAAGGTATGGTTCCAACGGGGAGCATATAGGATCAAATGTGTCCGCGCTAATAACCACTAGGGAGCATAGATGCGAAAGTAAAACATTGAGTTCATTAAAAATCTTCATTGGGTCTGCATTATTGCTTTCGCACAACTTGTTTACTTTTTGCACCTGAAAATTAGGCAAATAGTAAAATCGGCTAAAAACTTTTTAACTTTTTTTTACAAACCGGCTAACAAATCGGCTGCCGGCTAGATCGAATTTTCTCCGGCTAGTTGCTATCAAAACCGGCTAAATCTAGCCGGAAAACGGCTAAAATGGCAACGATGCTTCTGTGTGTGCTTTTTTGAATAAGCCATTGGTTCTTTGCATATACGTACTCGTATGTACTTTTATTACATGCCACAATGCGGCCGGCAATTCCGGCGACGCATTTAACTCAAACGACCTCTCAACTTTTTATAGCGGTACGTGAAAAATGGCAAAAAAAAAATTGTGAATATGAGAAAAACATGAAGAATAGGCAACAGGTAGAATTAAGCGATACACACATGATAGAGGTTCGATACCACATAAATAGTTGCAATGGTTATGAAATTCGAAAAGAAACAATGATGAGCCACCTGCATCTAAAAAAAGTAAGAATCAAGAGGTACATATAAAGAAGAATTGTCTTAAAGAAGTAAACTGAGATATCGCCGTCTGTCAGTCGGCAAAACAATCATCGTATAAATTTGCATATTTGCAATCGACTCACATTTTTGGTGCGATTTACGGCACATGCACTCGTACGCATTCGTTTGAGGCAAATATTTGCATTTTCGCAATACACACAAAAACTCCAACAATGAGCCGCTGTCAGGTTACTCATACGCAGCGTCGGCTACAGGCCAAAAAAAACCCCAGACAAACGTTCGCTCATTGTTTGGTATTGCGGCCGTTACTTTTATGAAATTAGCCAATATACCAAGCCATTAGTAATTTATGGTGCTTTTATGAGCTGCATGAAGACATAGTTAGTTAGTTAGTAGTTTTGGTTATACCTGCATACGTACGCTGATAAATATTATATGGTGCTGATCTAACAGGAAGTAACTTTTGTAAACAAACTGAGTTAATTTACTTATTTTTTTTTGCCTCTGTGTGAAAATTCTAATTTACTTAGTTTTACGCTAATTACTTGTATTCAGTACTTCATTTTGTATGCTGCTGTTTGATTTGTGTCATACGTATACATAAACCTATAGTAAATGAATGTAAACATATATGTATATATTAGGGCGGGTCCATTTTTTTCGACTATATGCCATAGGAGGATTATACGTGTTATTCTAAGCAAATTTGCCGAAGAAACTATGGGTCTAAAATCTGTTTGAACTTTTTGAAAAAAAATTCCCTCAGAGCTTTAAATATCTGCATAAAAATATTTAAACATCATTTTATCGGTTTTTACCCATGGTATCTTTGGCAAATTTTCTTAGAATTACACGTAGAATCCTCCTATGCTATACGCCTATAGTCGAAAAAATCTCTCATACAAATTGACCCGCCCAAGGATATACATTTAGTATATGTATGTACGTAGCCTGGAAACACAAGTTTCCAAAAACTGAACGAGATCTTTAAGAGCATCGGAAATGTGTTCGAATTCTATAACGTTTTCTTTAAACATTTTCAAAGAATATCTCATAAGGTGGTTGGCACGAATCCGTAAAGGAATTTCTATCCGATTTCTTTAAAAAAAAATCTTTAAAGATTTTTGCAGCGTTAGTATCATTGATTTATGACTGTTTTCGAACTTTCGTAAAAGAATTGAAAAGAATGTATGCACAGTACATTTCATTTTAGAAAACTTAGCGAAAAATTGCAAAGGGAAATAATGATTTCATTACGAATTATTAAAGACTCCTCCACTATTCAGATTATGTACTCTTAAAGTATGGTTTGCTGGGTATACACATATTTGTAAAAAAAAAGCGCGAATACTTACTATTAAAGATTCGTGGATGCAAATACAATAGCACTTCACTTGTGACAACAGCTCAGATGATCGTGTGAGAGTGGCATGGATCTGCAAGAAGATAAAAAGCAATAAGGAATTTATGAAAGATTTTACACAATAACTGTATGCTATTGCAAAAAAAATTTAAAAATTAATTCGTTTCTTTATAAAAATCTATTCCATTAGATAACACACAACATATAAATCCACATTACAAACTTTCTTACAAAATTATACAAATTCAGCAATTTTTCTTCACAATTTTAAACATTTTATTCAGAAATTTTAGACTAACTTTAGGTGTAAACCTATAAAACTGGCCCATTTTTTAAAGTTCGAGTTTCAACTGACAGCTTTTTTATATTTTTTTTTTCTGACGCTGATGTGATAATTCTTAGCACCGTCAGCAAAAAAATTCTTAAATGGGTTGACCGAAGAAGAAAGTGGAAAAAGCAACAACAGTTTACAGGACGAACTTAACTCAGTGGGTAAGACCACTGGCTTTGAGTGCGGCGCGGCGAGTTCAAATCCGATTGAAATCAATGAAGAAATCTGATGAGGAGATGTAGTGGTCTCCGAAATAGCAGCCATAACTTCTACCATATGTAACTTATTGTTGCTTATTCATAACCACGGCCTTAAGCTCAATAAAATTGTTCAATTCAAAATCAACGCGAATGTTTAGCCACTTAAAACTTGTACTTTTTAAATAAAGACTCTTTTGAAATCCTTACACCAAAAACAAAAACAAAGAAATCATCTAGTCTTATAACACTACCTTTTCGTTCAACCACTCATTGTATTTCTAACATTTAGTGCCAAATTCACAGTGTCCCTTAACGATTCAATGAATCTACCTTCAGATCTTTCTGAATCAGAACTATGAATATGCCTTTAGGCTAGATGCATATATTTAACAAGGTAGAAGTGCCAACCAGATTTAGCTCTTTATGTAGCAGGCTATAATGTCAAAAATACCAAAAAAATTTAAATAAAAAAATGTTTCAATACGATTTAAAATATTTTGTTCTCTGTTTGAAACTTCAGTCGCAGTCGATAAGAGAGAACTGTCGAAATCACTTCTACTTTGCAGAATATGCTTTCTTCTTAGATATGTAATTTTTTTAAATTTAGGGAAAGCAGTGCTGAAATTTTTTAGTGCTGTGTTCTTTATTATAAAGGCCTCAGTCATAAGCGATCCAATATAGAGGCTTTTTAGAGCCTAGTAAAGCTGGACTGCCAATGACTGGGTCATTTGTCACGCAGTTACGTATGCACCGGTAAATCAGCGTTGCCTTTTTATAGGTAATTCCCCAAAATCGTGAAAATTTAAATTTTTGTGGGTAATGTTTAGGGAACGATATCTTGTGGGGAAATTTGTTGAATTTGCTATTTAATAATTACCTACCTATGAAAATTAAAATGTTTTTTATGGTAACAATGGCAACAATACAGTTATAGTATTATTAGCAGCACTGTTTTTATTTTGCAGTAGCAAGGCGAATTTATACAACGCGGTCTTGCCTGAACAGCCGAGATTTTCGCTGCGGTGGTTCTTTATGTAAAACCGATGTGTTTGTTGTACATTTGTGGCAATTCTTCGTGTCATTGCAAGTTATTATTGTAGTTTTTGGTTTTGCTCTACCGATACCACCTTGTATGAATTCGCCGTGTGCAGTTGGTTGCAGAAATTATGATGAAGAAGTAGTTCACATTTTGTACAGAAAATGTCATCAGAAAGGAAATCACTACAGCCAAAAAACCTAAGGGTGCTCCATAGATCGAAAAACAATTACAAATGAGCGCATATTCATAACACTCGAATTATGTCTTCGATTTTTATAAGGCTGAAGTGAGATAGGTGGACTTAAGCAACCACCACGGGTATACTGAAATTATTCAATGTGACTAAAAAAAATCAGCCATTGAATACCGACGAAATTAGCTGGTAGCAATGTACATACAAAACCATTTCTGGCCTTCAACCAACAACATAGTATTCGTGGCCAGTTGCTATTTGCATGGAAAACCCTTTTGCCAAAGGTTTATCCGCTGTCTAGAAAGATTAACATCCAGCAATTGCTTGGAAAGCACTGCAGTTTTGTGGCAGTTTAAAAGACTGTTTCATCTTCAATGCATTAAATGAGCTCATATATATTTTAGAATCATCTGCTCATATTAAGTACATATGTGCGCCACCCTCCAAGGTCGGAAAATCTGTCGAAGATGAAATACGAGACCTGTAATCGCAATATGGTGTTTCTTGAATTGTGTTTTATACCATAAAACAAATTGGTGTATTCCAATGAAACTTGCTGTTAAAAAATTGCAAAACTAGGTATCTATATGTATATTGTTTTTGTACTTATTTAGTACTCGTATCGTCTTATTGATTCAGTCTTTCTTTTAGAATGTATGTAGAATTATTCATTTAAGCTTATGTTCCAAACCCAGTTTATCTCATAATAAAATTTATCTACAATATGTTTGAAAGTGAATTTTCCCACAAATCGTCGCTATGCCACTATTGTCGGCGAAATTATCATGCAATTTAAATGCAAAACTTGTGCTGAGAATATTTTAAATTGCATTATTTATCGCGTGCATAAATGCATAATAAATATTTTGTAAATGTGTATGTATTTATGTAGATTAGGGTGGTCTTTAAAATCAAATGAACGATTTGTTTTCAATCTCACTCCCTCAATCGGTAATACCACGGTCACAGATATCACATATAAATTTTGGTCCCTATTGGGGTCAGATGCCTCTATGGACTTAAAAAAATTAATTTGTTTTTCCATTTAATCCCCAAATCGATACAACTAAAGTCGAGGATATCACATATAATTTTGGTCCCGATTGTAGACGGTTAAGCCGTTTTTATAGGATAATCTGAATTTTGACCCCTGTGTGACACGCCTTAACCAACTTCAATCGGGGCCAAAATTTATATGTGATATCTTCGACTATAGTAGCATCGACGTGGGGGTTAAGGCTTAGGAAATCTGATGTACAAATTTGCTTCCTACACTTAAGGACCACCCTAATGTAGATATATGATTTAGCCAAGGCTATGTTCCATCTAGGGCAGAAAAATAATCGTACTCGTAGATACCTTAAATACAACTTTTACGAGCAGTACGACTGTTTCTCTGAAAATTACTCATCGTTTTTTATAATGGGTACTAAAAATTTTATCAATCCAAAATATTTAATGGTGATTTCGTTTCTACCAAAAAAATGTTGCCCTTGCACGGTGCAAAATGTGCTTGATGTTACACTCAACCCTTTGAAAAAGCATGTTTTTGCCTTCTTGTCATTGTCCAGCTCACACATTTCATCATATTATCGTTTTAAGCAACCGCCTGATTTTCAGGGAAACCATCTCCCCTGACAAAGCTTCAAAGGGCGGAATAGGTGATTTTTTGCCTTACAAGAGTGTGACATTTTAAGAAACGAACACAAAGTTTTTTCACCCTTTGCCTTTAATTTAGAATCGAACGAGAAAGGAGAAAGGGGCAATCAAAAGGCGACATTTTTTCGTTGAAACGAAATCACCATAAGTATGTATATGTATAAGAGATTTATGCAAAGATTATAAAATTGTATGAACACATAAACAAAGATGTCGCTAGCTTAGAATGGAAATTTTTTAAGTACAGTTTTTCAAATTTAAGAGGAGAGAAAAAAACCTACAAAGCTCACTTTCTTTAAGTATTTTGCAAAACTTGAAATATAATATTTTAGGGTATTCGAAGCTTCGACCTTAATGGTAAAGTTTATATTACTTTGCACCTATCGAATTTTTTGTGCCTTCTTTGGACTTAGCAAATTTACGTCTCACTCAATAGAAGTCGGAAGAAATGCAACATATAATTTGGTGTTTAGAAAACGACATATTTTTACAGCCAATTTCACGAAAGCGAAAAATCAGTGGCGGATCCAGCGGGGGGGTTTTGTGTGTTAAACTACGTGTCAGTCAGTGGCCGACGCACGGGGTGTGTTTTAATATGGCGCATATGTATGTATAATATGGCGTCTATGTATTAAATACCCCCCGTGGGTCCGCCACTGACTGACACGTAGTTTAACCCCCAAACCGCTCCCCCCCCCCTGGATCCGCCCTGCGAAAAATGATTTTAATTTTTCGAATTTTATTTGGAAATTGACAGAAAATAAAAATCATTTTCCATTTAAATTGCTGGTGAAACTGGCTGCTTATTTTTCTTGCTTCCTTCTTCAACATAAAGAGAGGACTGTACATAACAAAAAAGTGGGAAAAATATTTCAAAATCAAATTGTGCTTCTCTGAAATGTGATAAATCAATAACACAGATTTACAAAAAAAAAATCTTCATATTGAACGAAACCTTTTATAACCCATGTTATTCGACGCCCTGAATACGAATACGAGGTCTGTTATCCTCCATCATGTCGAGGTCATTTGAAGGTCAAGTAGGGACGACCTTAGGCCTTAGAATTAAGTCTATACCGTTATTGTTATTAAAAAGTAAGT